ATATTTGTATGATATTAAATTACTCGATATAAATATAATATTAATATACAGAATGTTAATATCTATAAAATATTTTTTGCAGGCTTCTAAAAGCTAAAATAAATATAAAAGTTAATAGAAAAGTCTCGATTTGTTAATTTATAAGCAATTAAAGTTTGTATTAATGACTACAAATGAATTTTTGTATTGTATTTCTGTCATACAGATATCTCTCTTTATCTTCATCTCGTTTCATTTAATACAAATTTCAATTATAAATAATAATTTATTATATAAATAATAATAAATAAGTCTCAATCGATATTTTTTTTATATCAATTTTCGTATTTATTTATATATATCCTTTAGAATCGATCTTTCAAAATGTTCCAAGAATATATTAACATCCTGTAAATTAGTAATTAAAAATCAGCATAATTTGTTTATTTTTCGTATATAATAAAATACATAAATTATAGAATCATGTCTTGACTTCATATACATATATAATATATTCATTATTCATAATATAATCATCATTAAAAGTATCGGGGAATTTTTGTTTCAGTCGGTCAGCATGAAGGTGCAATTAACGACTATTACTTTAGAGATTCTTTTGATCATTCGTCATCAGAAAGTCAGCTATTGGATACATCTGGAAAACCACACAGTCGTTCGGTGACGCCTGTACCGAAAATGCAAAAACTTCAAAACGTAAAAGAATTTCATCAACAACAACAACAACAACAACAACAATTGCAGCAAACTGGTCGACGTTCAAAATCAAGGCATAAGAGTCTTCGAATCACGAGGCTTTTTATTCCAGCTTTCATGCTCACGATCACAGTTTTATTTACTGTGATCGTTTTGGTATTTGAGACAGACACAACGCTTTTTAATAATTTGCGTAAGACGCCAGAAATGGTGGCCTTAAAGAACCAATACTATGTCCCCATCAAGGAGTTCTTGAGGACAAAGCTCGGCCTATTTTGATGTGACGCGATGATGACCAGGCTGAGATCGCCCTTTGTCGCTAAGTAACTTCTTTCAGTGCCAAGTCAAGAAGTTGATCGAGTAGCAAGAGTATCGTATTTCTTTCTCATATTCTTTCTTTTTAAATATATGAATTTATATGCAAGAAAACAAATTGTTTTTGTTAAGTTTTCTTCATTTGTTTTTATTCTGAATATAGTATATCAAATTGATACAGTGAATTTAATTTACATATATTATTTCAAATTGGCATTTGAAGTTTTTGAAATACTTATTTGGAAAATCAGTATTGTTTGTTATCTTGTGTATATAATAATTTACTTTGGTATATGATTTATATACATGATTATGTTTTTATAATCTCAAATATATTAATATATCTAATATAATAAATTATTTTTATTATTTTATTTACAGTAATTTAATCTAAAATTTCAAATATTGCGAGAATGGCCAATTTTGCTGAAATTTTTATAGTGTCTTGATAGATTTAAGAAAATATACTACAAGAAAAAAAGATGCAATCCGATTTTTTGAAAACTTTTGCCGCAAAAGAAATCACTTATTCTTATTTCGGCCTCTATAATGACTGCCAAATTCACTCTAATCAGATCATATTTGTTCCATTATTTTTTTTTTATACATACATACATACATATATATATATATATGTTAAAAATATTTTATTTGGAATTATGTGAATTATTTAGAAATGTGAATTATTTAGAAATGTGAATCATGTGTATGAACTAAAGTAAATTATTAAATACGTAAAACATTTTCTAAATAAGTATTATTATGAGATTAAGATTATCTCCTAATACAAAAGTGTTCCAATATTTCGCTAACATTGCAGCTACTTTCACCAAGAATCACACAAGATAAAAAAAATCGTTAACTTCAAATACCAAATTGAATATTTTAAATCACGACTCAAAACTCGATATAAATATGTCTCTGAAAAACTGTTATCTGCGATAAAAAAAGTACCTCCGATTTATTATTTATTTATTTTTTGCACTACACATATGTATATCTAAATATTGATAACTTAATATATTTACTCTATCGAAGACGAAGTGTTTTGTACAAAATATTTACATTGCGAGTTCTCGTGTTTTACTATATAATAAGTTATATGTAATTCGACGAATTGTTAGAAAACTTTGTTATAGTAATATTATCGAATTTATTTAATAAATTTAGATGAAAGTCAGTTTCTACTAATTACTATTAGTAATTACTATTATATAGAATGTGTCGCAAATCGAAAAAGTCACCTTGTATTTAAATACAAAGGTAGATTATATACAAGTACGTACGTTTTCAACTTATAATTAGTAATAGAAATCATAAGCAGAAACATCAAGTAGTATGTTGCACAACATATTTTTATTTTTTATGTATAATAAAGCGATATTATTTATTTTAATTTTAAAATTATATTTTGTATTAAAATTCATATTTCGTTTCATTTTCTAATGTATAAAAATTGATTCGTTCAATCCTTTTTTTCTCTTAAAGATTTATTTTTTTTATTTACAAAATATATTTTTTATTAATCATATTTAAACTTTATCTTTTCTTTTGAATGTACAAGTTTTATTCATACTAATTGATATTTCTCATAAAATGTATAATTTGCTAAATTTGAAATTAAAAAATTATTAATTTATTTGATTTTATATATCTTTTAGTATATATATACTAGAAAATACTGTGATTGAATTAATATTTAAATGAGTACTTAATTTTCGATTTTAAGAAGAGTAAATTATATATTATAGAATTCAGCATGCGTAATTGTAATCATTATTATTGTTTCTATATGAGCTGTAAACATAAAATCTTTTTTTTATAAACTTTTAGTTATGATAAAATATTTAATTAATTTTTATAAGACAATTTAATAAAACTTGTAAGATAGAATCGAGCAACATACGATGCAATCAAATAGTATACATGTAAAAAAAAATGTTTTTTGTACTTTTATTCTGTTATCAATGTTTTTCTGAAAATTGTACAAGGAAAATAGATATGCTTCCTAACTTTTGTATTGGCATTTAACAATCAAGTATCAAATAATCGATATTTATTATTACGATTATTAATATTATTATTATTAGACAAAAAAACTGTTTTTATTTAATTTTAATTCAGATTTAATCATTTACCTTAGAAATACATGCAAGTGTGTGTGTGTATATAATAGGATGAATCTCCAGACATTAATTATAAATTTATTTTTTTAATGATATTAAAATATTCAGCCAAATATTTATTTATTAAGAGGAACAAATAATACAATGAAAATTATTTTTCACAACACGTTATATATTCTGAAATATTAAAATAATTTTAAATTAGTTGGTATATTTTTTTTCATACAATGAAAATATAAATGCCAGATAGCATGAAATATTGTTATTTATTTGTAATATTTCAGTAAATTAAATAGCAGGGAATTAGAATTATAAATATTTATGTCTAAAATCGAATTAATTTGTATAATAATTAAAAATTACAATAATTAAAAATTTGTATAAATATTTATATACATATAAATCTATTTATTTTTATAAAAAGATATAAAATTTCAAAAGAATTGATATTAAAAAATATAATATATTTTTTATTTACAGTATTTATGTGATTAAAAAAAAGTATTCTTTTTTGTCATTAATTTGTTTATATCAATAAAAATAATAAAATGTGTTTAAATTTTAATGTCTTACGATTCATCCTGATATGATCATACAAATTTATTCTAAATTATAAATTTTGCCTAAAATATTAGATTGTTTCCAAAGATTATATAATTATCGTTAGAAAAGTTATCTAAACAGAGATATTTATTTTAAATCTTATACTTGAAATCTGTTTTTATAATGAATATTTGTGAATTAAATATTCATAAATATAACGAAACAAGGTGAAAAAATTGCATTTTTTTTACCTTATAATATATTTTAAGTTGCATTTAATATTATTACATGAGTTTCCATTCATTGAATTGACAAATATAGTAGCTATATTAATTGATCATTATATTATAGTTATTATAAAGAGATGTAAAATCATGCAATCATAATTATATATTTATATTTAATTTATATTATATATAATTTAAATATATTTATATTCAAAAATATTTTCATAGATCGTGAAATTCAATATTATAGATATATATTATATAATTCATTATATAAATTCAATCTGATATTTCAATACTAAGATGATTTATATGATTTTAAAAGATATATGAAAATAGAGAAATGTAGAAAACAAAATAATACTGTAATTAACAAGAATAAAAAATTGTTTATATTTTGTTTATATTGCTTAATATAAATCAATTAATTGATAATTATTTTTGAAAATTTAAAGATATGATT